ATTCTCAGGTCCCAACACCACTTCGAAATATTCAGGCTGTTGGTCTCGTCAGAGTAGCTGACAGTTTGCAGCTCCAACTGTCTCTGTACTCACTGTTTTCGTTCAGATTTTTCCACCAGTTGGTGCCTAATCCACTTCTGTATGGTTCCTTTCAAAGCTCAGGGTTCCGGGATTAGCTTCTGTATCTCTGTCAATTGGTTTTTCTTTTCTTTGTTGAAGAGGATCTGTGTCGCTTGTCTGCCTGTTCTTCCATCTTACTGGAAGTCCCCAAAGCTGCTTCTTATATATGGAAAGCAGACCACATACCCAAAGCAGCTACTCAGCTGCTTGTGGGTAGATCCCACCATGGAGCTGATTGCTAGTCTCATCATGGAATGTAACTACCACCAGCTGCCCAGACACTCAACCAGGCCCAGCCAAGTTGACACACAAACATAACCACCACAGCCAACTAACAACATGGGAGCTCTGGTGGTGTAGTGCCTAAGGTATTTGACTGCTTACCAAAAGGCTGGCAGTTCAACCCCACCAGCCCCTCCTTAGATGATTGGGCAATCTACTTCTGTAGTGAGACTCACTGCCTTAGAGTTGGTCCTGATGCATAGCGACCCTTCCTTGGGTTTCCGAGGAGGTATCTCTACGGAAGTAGATTGCCCATCTTTCCTTCCCAGGAGTGGCTGGTGGGTTTGAACCGCCAGCCTTCTGGTCAGCAGTCAAATGCCTTTGGCACTGGGTAGTGATACTGCCCAGAAAACCCAAAGGGGGGTCGCTATGAATCAGAAGTGAGTTTGTGTTTTTTTTGGTTCTCTTGAATTAGCAGTAATGCCTGGCACACAGTAAATGCCTGCCCCCTCCCTAACTAGGGAGGGGATTTTTTAATCTCTCATCTCAGCCATTAGGAGAGTGTCTTGTAAATTTATCTGCTTAGACGTCTGTCTTTCCCACCAACTGTGAGCTCGTGGATGATAGGCATCATGGCTTATTTCTCAATACCAATGTCTAGCACACATACAACATGTGCTAGACACTGGAGATGTAAGCAGATAAATTACAACCGATTTTGAATTAATGGTCAGCTGTAGAATATCACAGAACATTAAGTGCTACAGTCAGGCTGGGGATGGCATTTTTCTTGTTCTAAAGAAAAGCGACGGTGGCCGCAGGCGCGGCTGGCACGGTCACTTTGAGAATGGGCCCAAGGCTCGTGGCCACATCCTTGGCAACCAGGCCTCGGGTTTCTGTGGGGTTAGGAAGAAGGTGGGGCGGGAAATCAAAAACCGAACTCTCAGCTCCCGGCATTCTCCGTGGGCGGTGCTCCCCTTTGACCCTTCGTTCGCGTGCTACGCATCCGGGCCTCTGCTACTAGAGAGGGGAAGATGGCGGCCGCAACCGTGTTAGTTCCCGCAGAGTGGATAAAGAACTGGGAGAAATCAGGGAGAGGCGAATTGTGAGTGTCCAGGCCGGAGGCAGGCGCCCATCTCAGGCCGGGCCCGGGCAGCGGCCACCTTGTCTTGTGTGGCGGGAGGCTGGGGGGAACGATGCGCCCCCTCCCCCACCTGGGCGGCGGGTGTGGATGGTTGGCTAGGAGTTTCGAACTCGGAGAGGAGAGGTGCTTGTAACCGCCGCCGACCTCCTTCCTTCCCTGGCCTCCCTAAAATCCCTGCTTCCTGCGGTAGCTCGGCTTCCTGTAGCCTCTTCGGAGAACTCTGTTGCGCCTCCCCCCCCCCCGCCCCCGCGGGTCCCCGCGCTCCTGTTCGGTCTCTTTTTGTCCCCCTCTTCGCTTGTGCTCACTTGGCTCCTTTTTCTTTACGGGGCCACAGGGGAGGGGTAGGGGGGTTCGGACTCTCCATCTCTCTCTGTACTATTTCTTCACTCTGCACCCGTTCGACTCCGCAGTTTGGAGCCCGGAGCCTCCTCTGCCCGAAGTCCGAGGAGGGTGAACCGTCCCGGACTCCCTCCCCTCCTCTCCGCCCGCCGCCGCGAAGCCCCGGGCGTCGCGAAGAGCCCCGCTGGGCACCTCGTCCTCCCGGGGAGCGGTCTCGGATTGTGCCGGCCTGCCGCGGGCTGTGGGGAAGCGTGGCAGGGATTGCCGCTCGCCTAGAAGACCTACCGGCATTTCTTTGCTCCGTCTTTTCACCTTAGAGCCTTTTCGGGTTGGATTCAACTTTCGTCATTAAATGTTTCCTAAACCCCATTTTGTCTTGGGCCGCCAACTAATTTTGGCAACTTTCCAAGCGGCTCGAGTACCTAGGATAACGCATTTTCTTTAGCCATGAAACTTACTATTATTTTTTTTTTCAGTAACACAGAAAACAGTAATTTGTCGTACCTGCGGTTTCATCACCTAGCTTTTCAGTTCTCTCGTTCTCCTTTCCTCCCTCCCCCTCTCTGGCTCGGGAGAAAATGAAAATCTTTTAAAAAGCAAAAGAAACAGCAGATTTCAAAACAAATAACTTTTATTTCCATTATTGAACTGTTTTAGAGGCTAAACTGAACCCTGTATGAGCTTAATGCTTGTTAAGCCATTTCTGCCCTGGTTGCCCCCATCCCCCCTTCCAATAACCAGTTTAAGGTTGCTGGTGGGAAAGATACAAATCTTTGGAACTTTGTTTCTTGTAACAAAACGCGAGTAACATTGCCAGCCTATATGCTCTATCTCCGCCCCCTCCCTCCATTGCACTAGGCAGGGCTTCACTAGGTCTTACAGTGGGAGCGTCAGAACTGGATTGCCTGAGTAAGCAGCCTTTTTAGCCACTTGACTGGCTGAGTGACCTTGGTTAAATTCCTTTAACCACTTTGTTTCCCCTTGAGTAAATTGGGAATAATAGTACTCTCTTCAGAAGAGTGTTGTGAAGACTAAATGATAATCCTTGTAAAGTACTTGGCATATAGTAAGTGCTCTAGTGATAGCTATTAATAGTAATATTATTATTCCAACCTGTAGATATTTAAACTTATCAGGACAGCTCTTGCACTTTGTCTGTAGCACTCAGGTTCACAATTACCAATTGGTCTTTGACTCTTTCATGTGTATTTACTTCTTTAATGAATTGAGAGGCTCTTGAAGAGTAGGAACTATCTCATATTTCTTTTGATTCGTCCCCTCCTCTCCTGCTAGCCCCTCTAGCACATGCATGCTTAGAGTGTTTATTGGTTTATTAACGGATAGAGAAGTCTTTTTGATGAACATTCGTGTTTAACTGTCAGGAACTTTTTCCAGATTGTCATATAGCAGTCAACAAGTAACTGTTAAGTTCCCCGTGTGCTGGGAAGACAGGATGGGAAGTTACCAACCTAAACCATCATCATCTATATTAAATTCCAAAAACCAAACCAAACTCACTGCCATGGAGTAGATTCTGACTCATAGCGACCCCCATTGGGTGTCCAAGTCTAAATCTTTACAGAAGCAGATAAATAGTCAAACTTTTCACTGTCCAGTACTTTTCATTTATTTGAGTTCTTTTCTCTCTATGAAAATTTTGTTGCATATAGCCTAATTTGGGAGGTTTGTCATCTTGCTAAAGATAGATGTTAGCGTTTTCATTTCATTTGACAGAACAAGTGGTGTTGTAAATATATTACAAAAAATCCTTTTCTTTGTCTGAAAACAGCCTCTTTTAAGTATGAAGCAGCAAGTGGAAATGCTAAAAATGAAGGTAGTATGTCATCAAGTTATGAGTGAATCCGTTTATAGTTTTGGTTTTTAGAGTATGACCAGCATTTAAAATTATATCGTTGGTGGATCTTTCCTTTTTAAGGAGCTTAACAGATGAGCTTTAACATCACTGGAAATAACCTTTTAGAAAGGTATGATGTAGTTCATGATATTGTTAGTTCATTTCTTCTCTGTCACTTCTTACCATCCTAAGTCTGTGTTCTGGGAGTTGTACTTAACTTCAGCATCATAGTGTTAAAAAGCAACATACGAGATATGTTATTGTTATGTGCCATTGAGTCAGACCTGACTCATAGTGACCCCTCCTTGGGTTTCCGAGGCAGTATCATTACGGAAGTAGATTGCCCAACCTTCCTTCCGAGATATGAGATACGGGTATCTAAAAACTTCCAAAGTGCAAAATTCTTTATAACGTAAAATTTGTAACTGTGCCCTGTGAAAAGCCACTGTCTATTAGGTGGAAGGGAGCTCAGGTGACGTAATGCCTAAGGCATTTGACTGCTAACCAGGAGGCTGGCGGTTCAAACCCACCAGCCATTCCTTGGAAGGAAGATTGGGCAATCTACTTTTGTACTGATACTGCCTAGGAAACCGAGGAGGGGTTGGATCCGACTCGATGGCAATGAGTTTTTTTTTTTTTTATTATTATTAGATGGAAGGTCTTGGCTTTGAAAAACAAGTTTTGTTAAGTAATCGGGAAAATTAAAACTGTATTTTGCCTAACTGTATAGTCTACCACATACCTATTTTTACCAGAGATACTGATTTTTTTTTTTCATACTGATTGTTTTTAACAATGAATTATAGAACTCTTAAAATGAACTTTTTCAAATGGTTACAAAAAGGTAAAGGAGGACTTCCAAAAGGTAATTAAGTATCTTTTCCAGTAACACTTAACTAGTCTTTGAAGTGTCACAATGCAAACTCTTTGAAATTCTGCAACCTATGGAAGATAGGAATTTAATTACTTTAATTTTAGAATTAAGAGTCTTAGTGCCTTTGTGATTTTTATGGTAACATATGACTTGCCTTGATAAAGCAGTTAAACTCTCCTGTAGTGGTAGATCCAGTAGAGAATTCTGTTTTTAGTAGAAATCATTAACACAGTGTGCATTTCTGTCTGTCACAGGCAACCTTAATGAAGACTTCCGTGCCAAGTTTTTAAACTAAAGATGCTAGCCTCATTTAAATACTTTAGTTTTGAAATACATACTTATATTTGTTGAATATCATCAATTTGTCTGGCTGAAGAACTACTTTTTCTTTTAAAATGTCTACCTATCCCAATTAAAAGTTTTGTTAGGTTTTACCTTATTAATTAATCTTTGATAGTTATAATAAAGTTTTGAAATTTAATTGCTAAATGTTTTGGTCGCTGTTCTTTTTCTTCTGCTACTAAATGACTTTAAACATTCCAGAACTTATCTAAATATACTTGGATGCTCAATAAGTGTCTGGATTTTTTGGAGGGAAGTATTTTAGTTTTGAGTATGTCGTTTTGTTTTTTGGAGGGACGTATAACAATTGCAGCAAATAATTGTTCAAAGAAATCTTAATCTTGGTGGCTGAAGATTTTTTTTTCTCAAAAAATGTGCTGTAAATTCAGCTTAAGAAATCTTTTGTTGCTTTTTTAGCCTTCAGGCATCTGGCATTTAATTTCTCATTTCGACCTGTAGTTATAAATCTTGATCTGTTTTCCTGGTAAGAGAAATGAATTCTTCAGAAAATGTTAAAGCAATATTAGGAGATTATCTAGGCTACTTTTTTCTTTCTTTGTTAAAAAAATAAAATAGTGTATAATGGTAGATTAAGGTAGATTGAGTGCTATCAATGTGTTTGTGCTTTTTCCTACTGGAAGTACAGGAACTTGTCTTTTTTAACATTTCCTGTTCCCTTTCCTCATAAATGCATATTTTCACAAGATAAAACTACTTTGTCCTGATTCTCATTTTTGTGTGTCATGCCTGTGTTCTGACACAGCAAATAGAGTAGCAGTTTGCTTAACCAAAGTGAGCCTTTTTTATTGTTTTGTTTTTAAGAACTAACTGAAGCACAAATGGACATCAGCCTTCTATATATGAAGCCAGCTTTGAAGTATTAAGCATAATCAAGTAGTTCAGGCTTGTGCTGTGTTTCCTTTTTACTGGGAGATGGGAGCAAGTAAGGTGACATGCTAAATACTCATGCTAAAGAAATATTCACAAAATACTCCTGAAGTCCTTGGGAGAACGTAAGGCATTTTATTCAGTTTAAGTTTCACAGATCTTTGACAGAAAGTAAATTCTGTCCTTGTTCTCAGGCATCTAAGACAGCGTCTCCACAATAACATTAAAATGTAGAAAATGGTAAACTTAATTATTTGGAGGTCATTAAGGGACTAAAATAATCATTTGGATTTGAACTAAGGTGGAAGGTTTGGTTATTTTTCAAGTCACAATAAAATGGGCAGCCATTGGAGGTAGTTTTGTTTTTCCCCTATAATTTAGACTAAGATGCTACAACTGTTTACCAAGGATAAAGTATAGTAAGACAGATGCAACATTCAGAAACAATTGCTTCTTTAAGGATACTTGATCTTCTATGAGTGGATTAGGGAGAAGAGCACAGATAAATCCACTGATTGGGGGTGAAATTCTTAGTGATTGGTTTTAGTTTTCCTCCAGCTAAGGGGGGAAAAACCAAAAAACCAAACTCACTGCTGTCGAGTCGGATTCAACTCATAGCGACCCCTCCTTGGGTTTCTGAGGCGGTATCACTACAGAAGT